ATCCCACCTCTGGGGGCAGCAGCCCCACAGCCCGGGTGCTCCTGTCCTGTCCCAGGCTCCTTCTCCCCAGGACAGCAGTTCTCTTGCTGAGACACCGTTCGTACAGTGCCACTTTGAGCCTGCACGCTCTCCCACCGAGGACACTGCCACGCCCTGCCCATGCCCCGGCTGGCTCGCTGCTGTGCCTGTGCCGAGTGGCACCCAGACTTTGCACGGACCAGATTTGCTTTCCACCCGTCATCCCTCCAGATGGCTGGAAATGAATATAGCACTCAGATAACCACAGAGAAGAAACCAACCTATAACCAGGGGATGCATACGAAATGTGTGAAAATCAGATTATACCACTTATTTCTCCATTTAGAATGAGTTTCAAAGGTTTTCATTTTCCATAAATGACATAACATGCAAAACAACCCCATTCCACTCTGGCCTCAATGCCTGGTGGGCCCTTTCTGGGGCGCGGTGACCCTGGTAAAACCACATGTGTGATTAGAAAGAAGCCCAGAGTTCAGGAGGGAAGGCTGGGAAAGGCACCTTGTGGCAGCCCTGCGTTACAAATGTATCTATTTAGGTAAATAAAATGCCAGGATGATAAGGACAATAAAACAAACAACAGATGGTTAAGAACTATTTGTTTTTTCTCCACACAGTGAAGTCATTTATGGGTACTTCAGAAAGAAAAACTATCTGGGGAGACAGAAAACAGGACCGGAAGTCAGTCCTGCTGATTCCATTCCAATCATTCAAAGAATCTTCCCTTTCTCTTAGCAGAGAAGTTGTCCGAATTCTGTCTTGCAAATAAGGACACAGCCCTGGCAGCCTCTCCAGTTTTAAACTGTCGTTCCATGCTCAACACAAACAGGAAACCACCAAGAAGAAGGGCTCTCCCACAGCCGTCGCTATGGCTTGATTCTCTTCACTTTTCTCTAAAATGATGCTACACTACATAAAGGCAAAGATTTTGAGCACAAGGGAACAGTAATACTCATGAGTTTGCCAAAACCTGTGGTTCCCAGTTCAAATGGGGTGCAGGGGCCCAGGCTTCCTGCGAGGAGTAATGATGGAAGTGGAAATGATGTCTTAGGAAGCAAAAATGTTGCCCAGGAAAATGGCATGACTGATGGCTTTGTCACAGAGGCTTAACATAATTAATTTGCACCTATACCACAGTCCATACTAAAAGTATATTATGTACTAATTCAAATTGTAAAAGCATTAATCAGAGATAATGCATTAATACATTTACCTTATAGGTGTCAGCTAAATTTGCATTTGACTCTCATCTCTAAACAGGTCCCCAGATATTACTGTTGGTTTCTGTTGTGAATTAGGCCCGATTTTTAAAACTCTCCCAAGTCTCTGTCACATACAGATACAGTATTGCCATTAGCTTCCTGGGCCTAAGGACATACCAGAGCCTGCCCTGGTGGAGGACAGCAGGTCCTGGCCCACTCAGGTCCCCCTGGGTAGGCTGCCAGGCTCAGGGCAGAGACACTGCCACCCAAGGCAGTGCAGAAGGCACAAGGGAGGGCCAGGGCCAGGGAGCTGCCCAGAGCTGGGCAAAGCCTCCCTAGAGCAGAGCCCGAGTGCTGCAGACTGGGCAGTCCTGACACTGTGGGAGGAAACTGCTACCAAACCTCCCTGCACTGCCCAAGCGAGGACTCCACCCTGCCCGCCCGCCGCTGTCCCGGCCTAGCTCCTGTCCTGGCCCCGCTGTGGTTGCAGAAGAGCTCAGTGGCCTTGCTCTCAGGCTGGAGCTGGTTCCCAGCTTCACGTGAGCATGAGCCTTTCTTCTCCTCTGCCTGCCTTGGGCTCTCTCCCCCTCTCCTCCTCCTGTGCTTTCCAGGGTGCACTTGGTACCCAACTGCAATGCACTGTGTCCCCAGGGTCACCGGCGTGACAATTTGGGGATAAGGGACTCAGATTGGAGTCTGCCTGCAGAGGTAAGTGCCCTGCTTGGTTTTCCTTCACCTACTGGTGACTTACAAACAAGCAAAAGGTGCTAGGGACCAGCAGCGGGCTGCCCAGTACAAAGGGACACAGCGAGGGAGGCTGGGATGCATGATCTGTCCCTTTCCAGTTCTGAAATCTGAACAAAACGATGCCAGATTGTGATATTAAAAGATCAGAGCTGAGTTAAGATCTTTCCTCCCACTGTGGGAAGAAAGCAGCACAGGGAGACCTCCTTCTGGCCTCAGCAAGGGTGGCTTGGGAGAGGACAGCACCAAGTGCCCTGCTGCTCTGGTCAGCAGGAAGCCCTCTCGGGCCAGGGCTCTGAGACTCAGCTTCCTCACATCATAAATGAGGTCGCTGCTGTACGCACTGCCTCCTTTCCTCTTCCTCCACAGAGCTGTCACTGGGCTGAAATGTTAAAAAGTAAAAAGCTCTGGATAGCTGCCACATGCTGCACAGATGAACTATTACTGATTAAATATTCTTCATACTTCAACTCCAAACCCATATAAAGAACATAGCGTGCGTGGGGCACAGCCAACACCATGGTACTAAAGATAAGACATCTCAGCTGGGTGTGGCAGTGCACCCTGTCATCCCAGCCGTCTGAGAGGCTGAGGCAGCAGCATCAGAAGTTTAAGCCCAGCCCGGGCAACTGAGTGACTTAATGAGACCTTGTCACAAAAATAAAGCAAAATAAAATGCAGTAACAAAAAGGGGGTGTAGACATAGCTCAATGAGAAGGCCCGGGTTCAATCCCTAGTACCAGACACACACAAAATAAATAGAGAGAAAGAAAGGGAGAGGGAGGGAGACGGAGGGAGGGGGGGGGAGAGAGAGAGGGAGAGAGGGAGAGAGGGAGAGAGGGAGAGAGGGAGAGAGGGAGGGGGGGAGATCCAGCCTGAACCAAGGAAATTCTGAATTGCTACAATGTAGCCATGGAGTATGAGAAGTATCTATTTGGATTCCCATTCTGTTGATTTAAGGCTGTCCTTGTATATGGCCTGATGAAATTTAAGGAAGGGTGACAAGATCTACAAGACCCATTAGAATAATACAAAGATATTTATTTAGGAAAATAAAAGTTTTAGCTAATACTCTATTGTCGGGAGCAATGCTACATAATTTTAGGGTAAAATCATTTGGTTAGCCTAGTTCTCTTGCCTACAGCCCAGCTACAGAATAACTCCAGTTTGCCCTCCAGTCACAACTGAGACTTCAGTGATCCAGTGATGCTGCCATTCTCCAGGACAAGAAACATCCTGGGAGAACAAACATCTGCTCAGTTCCTCATTGTTCTTGGACTGATTAACATCTTGTTTACCCAGGATGTACTGAACTCTCTGCAAGCCTTTTGTTACACCTTGTTTATCCCAATATGAACTACTGAACTCTCTGCAAGTCATTTGTTACATTTGTTTATCCCGATGTACTGAATAGAAGGTGTGGTAAGCTGGGGGCCTTGTCTTTGCTGCCCTGAGCAGCACTGATCAGACCCAAAGCTCAGCTTCTTCTCAGTCTCATTTTTCTACCTTTCCTGTAATTCGCCGTGTGCTACCATATGTGCTGCCGTGGCTCACAGGAGACCAGGAATCACTGCAGAGGTTCTCAAAACGTTCCCTTCCCCTGTTCCCTACACTCTGTGCAGCTTTACACAGCAAAAAATGACTCCAATTCCTTCCATCACTTAGAATTGCTCTTAAAGATATGGAAGAGTATCCATTACTTTTATGCTAACTGTCTTGGGGCCAGAGAAGCACTGTCTGTCCAGTAAGAACTCACGCTGTGACCCCGCCGCCTGGGAACAACCCACAGCTCTGCCCTGGCCTCAGCGAGCTCTACTCTCAGCCACCAGCGCCCCCGAGCAGGGCGGGCTTTGGACCCTCCCAAGCCTGCCTTCTAGCTCAGGGAGAGCAAGTTTTAAACAATGCCTTTCATGTCTAACGTAAAAGTGAGACTTTATTTCTGCACAGTCAGTTATTTGCTTAAAATACATAAAAGACTCCACCTTGTAGGTGGAGAAAAGCAGAGTTCACTAACCAGACAATGTATGCACGTCAGCAAAGACACGCACAAAAGAAAGGGTGCATGAGTCTCTCTCTCTCTCTCTCTCTCTCTCTCCTCTCAGCCTCCTTTGGGGGTGTTAAAAAGTAAGGAGAAAATAGATTTGTGAAAGAAAACGGAAATGGTTTCTCTTTTGAAAACTTGATGTTCGTTTTCAAAACTCCAGTGCACACCAGTGTGCAAGACACCATCGTCGGCTGCTGCTTCAAGTACCCATGAGTCCAGCTGCACCAAGCTCTCCCCCATCTGGTGCCAACCTTCACCTCTGAAGGGGGACACAGGCTGGGTACACGGTTACTGCCATCACCTTCACCTTCTTAGTGGAAGAATTCACTTCCTTTGCTTTCTCAGTACGTGTGTGTGTGTGTGTGTGTGTGTGCACGTATGCGCACGTTCTTATCTAAAAGTGTTCTTTAAGGGAAAAAGAAGTAACCTGAACGTCTTGGTGTCACATTATTTGTGAACCAATACTACACATATACAATCCCTTATCCAAAACTCCCCGCAGTAATTCAGTGGAAATGACTTCCATTCCCTACAAGATGACAACACAAGCTGTCTGTCACTCCCCATCTGTGTCACTGACTCCGGAGCGGCTGACGTCATCCTTGGTCAGTAATTCCTGCTCCTCCTCCCGCTCCCTCCTCCTCCTCCTCCTCTTTCTCCTCTTCCCTCTCTCATCCAGTCTTTGGCAAAAATAAACTTTGCCTCCGTGTGCCTTGTATGCCTCAGGTGTTTCGTCACAGCGATGGCAGAGCTATTACAGCTACTTTCCAGATCCTTTCAAACCCTTCACCTGAGACGCAGGTGAACTGCTGGAGCCCCCCTGGCTTCTCGCCCTGCTCTGAGGGGGTCTCGGGATCCCCTTGGGGTCGGCTGCATGATGATAAAACCCGCAGCCCACGGACTGAGGCGCTGTGCCCATCCAAGGGCTCCTCCCCTCTGCCACCCGCCCGGCGTGCTCAGTGGGGGTCACCAACCTGCCAGCCCTGGAGTCTGCACTGCTGGAGAACAAGGCGGCATCTGTGCTCCTCCGACGGCTCCTTCCTCTCGCCTGGCAGCATCTCGGCCAAGGGCTTGTACCTGTGGAAAGCACAGCAGCAAGGTTAGCACTTCTGAGGGGCGGGCGCCCCTGCCACACCCAATCTCAGAATGCTCTCACTTGACCCCAGTAGCCTCCTGCCCCTCTCCCTGGGCACACAGAGCCCACTGTGAGGGGACTGCAGCTTCAGGGATACACGGCCTGGCCCTTATGTTCAGTGCTTCACAGGGTGCGCATCATTTCTTCAGAGAATATTTGAAGAGAATAAAAATGAATCTCTTGCCTGTCAGCTATACATTCACTCTGCTCTTTAAAAATACTCCTTTTAAGAAATTCAGTCATTTTTATTACCACTTGAAAGTGAATCTAGACATTGTTTGGGTCCCCAGTAAAGGACTATCAAAACATCTCTCAGTCTTATTTAAATGAGGGTAGGATAGCATCTTCATATTTTAGTACTGAATATTTTAAATGTTCTTGAAGGACATTTTTGGCTTAGAAAGAACCTCTGAGCAGTGACCTTCCATTCCCTAATGGGGATTCACAGTCACATGACAGTTTCCCATAGATTTTTCAAAAATGACTTTCAACATGTTTTTGTTATTTATTAGTCCATGAGTCCAGAGCACGATGTTCACACTTCCTGTGTGCAGTGGCTGCATGGACATAACACCCTTTATTCCTTTCACCCACTTTCTCTCCTCCTCCACTCATCACCTCTTGTTCCCCTTCCCATTTTAGAAAGATCTACCTCCATACTTTTTGTTAGCTGTCTTTTATTTTGCTCTTTATTTATAATTTGGATAACTCCTATGGTCAAAGAGACCATTTGATATTTAAGCTTGTGTGTCTGATTGATTTCACTTAACATTATGGTCTCACGGTGCATCCATCTTCCAACAAATGACTCAAGGTTATCCTTCTTTATGGCACAGTAGTGTTCCACTGTACTAACATTTTCTTTATCCATTCATCTGTTGATGGACATACAGGCTGCTTCCAAGATTTAGCTATTCTGAGTTGTGCTGCTACAAATGTGGGTCTGCATGGATCACTGTAATAAAATGTCTTTAATTCTCTTGGGAAGAATGGTTTGAATGGAATCTCTAGTTTTAGTTTTCTGAGAAATCTCCACACTGATTTCCACAGTGATTGTATTAGTTTGCATTTCCACCAACAAATGTTTTGGATAGGGGACACGAGCGTGACTTCTTACGCAGTGGATGCTGAACCTGGCAGCTGTCTGTGTCCAGCCATCACTGAGACTGGCCACAACCGGTGGATACAACAGCATGGGTGAGGGTGGGACCTGGCAGGGCACACAGGCTGAGTGTGGACCACTGAGGAGGGGCCTGGCCAGCCCTCAGGATGCTTCCACACAGCAGGGCCACCGCCTGGCTCATGCTCAGCAGCGCTCCTGCCTTCCAGGGGTGAATAGCCGAGAAGCGAGGGGGTTGTGTGATGGGAAGACACTGGAGTGCAGAGCTGGACTGAGTCTTCAGTACCCAGCTCTGGCATCACGTCTGCTCTGAGGCCCCTGGCAAGTCCCCCGGGAGCAACTTTCTGCCTGGAGCTGGGGTTAGGGTCAGTCAGGGCCAGTGCTACCTGTGTTTCTCCAGAGGAGAAGTGATTCTACTCCGAAGCAGACCTCTCCTCCAAGGGCTGAGGACCATGTGTGGAGTCCACGCTGTCCACTAGATTCGCCTTTGCAGGGAGCAAGCGAAAGAAGTGACAGGTCACAGGAAGTGGCAGAACAGGAAGTGAAGTCAGTCTTGTTCCCTGGATAAGGGAACAGGGCCTTCAGCATCACAGCACAGATCGTTCCCGGATGCCAGGAGCCTGCATGACCTCCCCTTTGGGTACCATGACACAGCTGGGGTTCATGGGAATTAAGTCACCTGTCCAATACAGAGACAGGGATACAGGTTCATTTTGGTCCTCCCGAAACATCAGAGCATGTGGCCTATTTGGAAGTAGGGTCTCTGCAGAAGTCATTAGGTCAACAGGAGACTTGCAGGGTGGCCCCTAAGTCAGTCAATGGCTCCTGTCTGTAACAGGAGAGGAGACCGGAAGTGAGACACCAGCATAACACCATGTAGTGATGGCAGAGTTAGGAAGGAACACGAAGGACTGAGGGCCACCACAAGCAGCTGGGATGTGGCCAGGCAGGACTGGATTCTGTGTCTCGGGGCCGGGGCCCTGCTGACTTGAGTTTGGCGCTCCAGCCTCCCGCAATATGAGGTGAATTTCACTTCTGTGAGCTATCCATGTGTGGTGCTGTCACAGCAGCTCTCGGGATGACACGGGAGGGACAAGTGGCCGAGCTGGAGTCTGATCCTGCGCAGCTACTTCCGGACAGTGGACTGTTGTTCCACTGCCTGTGCTGAGTCCAGGGAGAAGCATCCAGCCAGGACCCGAGCTCATTCTGGGGAAGACACTGACCATGCAAAGCCGGAACGGGAAAACCCTGCAGTCTCGGCCCTCCCATCGGCGCAGAGTGAGGGTCCGGTCTGATGGCCTCAGGTGGCTGTGCTCTGCAGCAGGGGCTCAGGGCTTGATGTGTGGAGACTCACTCAAGCCCCAAGAAGATCAAGGCACCTGCCACTTAGCTCACTCACACATGCAGTGCAATCACTCAAATCATCTCTTTATTCGCTCCAATAATTGTCTCATTTGAGAACTTTGTTAATTATCATCGCGAACTTAATTGATGTAATTCCAGCATCTGAATGTAATATGAACGAGTCAGGAGGAAAATCTTGCTTTTGGTGCTTTTCCCCCTCGTTTTGTATTGTTCTTTTGACACTTAAAATGGTGTAATTCTGACATTTCAACTGAAAAGACAAAATCATCATCTTAGACAGGGCTGATACTGTGCTCAGAGTAACTTTAAAACTCTTATGTTTGGATGTCAGTGTCACCGCGGTGGCATCTCTGGTACAGAAGGGCATGATCCCACAGTGTCCCCATGGAGACCTGGCTTGGGGACCTTACCCTGAGCCACCTCTGCTGTCCCCCACAGGTCCCAGCTGTGCTCCCCCTGGACAGCCAGGACCGTGCGCAGGAAGCCCCGCAACCACAGCCGGCGCTTCCGGTCTAGGCTTGCTTTCGCGAGAGGCCATGACCATGGTGGCCTCTGTCTCCAGTTGGGATCCTCGGGCCCCTTCGTTGGCCTCAGGCAATTCCAGGATTCGAACTGAACAGAAGAGCACTGGGGAACCTTCGGGGGCTAGGATGGGAAGGGCACAGATCAGACCCAACCCTAGGGCTCTATTGGGAGAGGATGAAGAGGAAGGAAGGGAGAGAGGGAGGAAAGAAAAAGGAAGGGAGGAGGGAAAGAGAAAGGAAGGAGGGAAAGGAGGATAAAGGGATGAAAGGAAGAGATGGAAGTAGGAAGGAAGAAGGAGGGAGCGAGGGAGGGGCGGAAGACAGGAAGAGAGGGAGCAGAAAGCCTGTGCTGTGAGGGAGGCTCCCCCGGGGAACACCAGAGGCCCGCCTGGCTGCACAGCTGAGGGAGCTCCCAGGCTCCTGGGGGGCAGGGAACGGGTCCGGACCTGAGTCCCGGGTCCCAGGTGCTGCAGAAGAGCCTGGGACCCACCTCAGCAGGGGTCTTTAGTTGCACTGTCCTGGCTGCCTCAATGCCCTGAATCGATCCAAAACATTTCCCTTTCACGGTCATTTGGGTTTTGGGGAGGAGCCAGAAGTCGCATGGTGCCAGATCCGGTGAGTAAGGTGGACGAGGACACAGCGTCATGTTTTTACGAGCTGCCTTTCCATGGATGGCTCTGGGCAGCAGTCACTGTATTTTGATCACATTTCATAAAGAGACTCAGGAAAGAGGACTCCAGAGCTGCTGCAGAAAGCGGCCAGAATGGGATGAGTGTGCTCAGAGGGAGAAGGGGGCCTCTGAGGGGATCCTCGTGTCTCTCTCTCACTGTGTCTCTCACTGTGACAGCTTTTGGGAGTGAGTCATACACCGGCTATTCTGCTCACGCCCGTGCTTGCGAGGAGCCCTCACAGGAGGTGGGAAGTGGAGGGAAAAGCAGTGGAGGCCGAGCGAGCGCCAGGTGAGTGGTGCTGACCCTTACGGGCTGCAGCAGCCAGCACACAGCAGAGTTTCGAAGTCCCCGGCCACTTCCTGAGCTCTCTGCACTGTGGACTTGAAGAGGAAAGTGCTCCTTCGAGCATGTGCATACGCACCGGGCATCACGAGGAGGACAGAAAGGCAGCAGAAATCACGGGGCCTCAGAATTCCCAGGACAAAGAGCCCCTCCAGGCTGTGTGTTTGGAGGTCTCTGTGTTTTAAGAGAGACCAGCTGGAAGGGAAGAGGTGGAGAAAAGCTAGCTGCAGCTGTGGGGGGCTCAGGAAAGTGAAGGGATAAGCATTTCTCCCGAAGTCAGTGCCAAAGTTTTTAAAGGTTATTTTTTGTTTTTGTTTTGTTGGTTTTAGACAGGGTCTCGCTATGTAGTTCAGGCTGGCCTTGAAGTCACTATGTAGTCCAGGCTGGCCTCAAATTTGTGGCAATCCTCCTGCCTCAGCCTCCAGAGTGCTGGGATTACAGGCGTGTGCCACCATGCCTGGCTTGCCTCCTAGTTTAAAGGGGAATACTGACTCTCATTTCATGGCCCTGGGAACAAACCAGAGCGTACACAGTGTCCATAGAATTCGTGCTAAACATAATGATGTTCAACTGACTCCTTTAAGAAGACAGCCAGGAAGTGGTAGAATCATTTTTTTTAGGAAAATACAAGGTTCCAAACCCAACTACTTTGGTTTTTAACCTCAGGCAGTTCCTCTGAATTGGTTTCTGTTGCTGAATATACATTTGTATCTTCATTCTCAAAATTCTGCTGTTCTGGCATCCTGAGATCCCTGAAAATTGTAATTCTCTCAGCCAACATTTATTGGGCACCTACTGTGTGCACAAGAAGCCCACCGTCTGCTACGCCCGCCACCAGTGTGAGGTCTGCAGCGTCACGTTTCCAGGAGCGGCCTCTCATTTCACGGCCCCTCGCGGCTGTCCCTGCCCATGGCTACGTC